CCATCTAGATATGACCTCAAGTGTCATTCCTGACGGAGTCTCACAGACAGCATAACGATTGTATTTCGGATAACTGTGAACATGGGTCCCACACATACAATAACCTGATAGATACAATAATTAAACAAACACCTCGCAAGTCCCACACGGACTGCGATCCCCTCTCAGGGTCCATACAAACAATAAGGCTCCATGCCCAATTAACTGAATATATACATCAAGTCTATATTAATTTCCAAAACATCTAAGCATCAGTAAATAATCCACGTCTCCAATACTACAGTCATGAGCCTAAATAAATACATAATGTAATCTCAACATAGGATAATTAGGCATGTTAATAATTATACATGCCATCACAACATCTAATCAGCATCGTCATCTACTACTCCAAGGGAGGGGCCTTGCCCCTAGAAACATCGCCACTACTCTGGGTACTTGAAATGATGTCCCCAAACGGGGTGAGATAACACATCTCAGTAAGCTCAAGGTTCATAAAGGTTCCTCTAATCCTCTGAGCTCACTTCCTGCATGACAAGTTAGATATAAAGCATATAATACAGGCATACAACATAAACATAGTATCATCATATCATCCTTGTGTAACCCCAGGGTCAAAGCCATAGACGGTTACACATGTGTGACTCCAGGGTCAAGCCATAGACAGTCAACACAACCTCTGTATGAAATAGCTCCTAGAGTAAAGTCATAGGTAGCCTACATACCATGATCACTGGCCAGGATTCTCATAACATATATAATCAGTGCATCATCATAACATCAAAAATGATATAACATCTATATGAATGTGAATGAATGCACATATACATTATACCACATACTTTCATACAATACAACCATAATGCCCACCATCATGGTGAGTCCACAAGAGAGAGGAACAACCAGAACTAGGAGCTTACCTCACTGAGCTTATCACAAGCCCAACTCCAACAGTAAAACACGTTTGCTCCAATAAACCCTCAAGTGTCAAGTCCTCCAGGAAAACCTAGAGCAGGAATCATTTACATCATTAATACTCAATTACTTAATGATTCCACATTTCATTCTTACATGCCAATAATATGCCCATTACAAGTCTAGACCAATTATTACATAATTACGTATTTTAGTGTATTATTACAAGCAACCTCCATCTTCAATCACTTACATAACTTAGAATCACATTCTAGGCTCGCTTAGGTAACTTAGATACTTTTTACACATCCAAGCCCTAACTATGTGACAAGGCTGAAATGCATGCGTAGGTATTGCCTAGGTTGGATTTTCATTTTTAAACTTAATTCGAGACTAGTTCCTCAACTAATCACTTCACTAATTATTCTTGAACTTAATCAATGTACCAACACAATTTTCATCACTTACTAGCCTTATTAATGGTACCAAAATCGAGGCATTTCATGGTCCCATGGTGTTCAATTGGAAGGCTAACTCACTCTTGGTTCCTTGGATGCTTAGTTCATCCTTAATTCTTTCTAAGTTAAGCTCCCTTTTTACATATTCCATAATTATGCTAAGTATACCTCCTCTAGGTAATTTTAATTATTAACTTAGGCATATTAACACATTGATATTCTAAGACCATAGCTTGTTATACCAAGTTACACGTTGATTAAAGCCTTAGACACGTAATCAAACCTTAATCCATCATTCTTTAAATTTTTCAACCCTAAATCCTAATTATACCCTACATGGCCGAACCATATAGGTACCCTAACCTAGGATTTGTTTTCATTAATTCACATGGTCATGTGTCCATAAGTCCATCCTAAGCTTAAGTGACCATTTAGTTCCTTAATTAGGTTTAATTAACAAATCCTAATTAGGTTTAGTTAGAAACCTAGGTTATTTTAATTTTAGGGTTTATCCTTAATTAGGTTCATTATGAAATCCCACTTAGTCATATTATGTCATGGTACCTCAAGTTCTCTAATTGCATGATTACTGCTCCTAAACCCTAATTAGGTCAAATTTTAGGGTTTAATATTTAATTAGTGTATTATGCATAGTCCATCTCACTTAACCACTAGATTAATGCCCTAATTAGGTCTTAGTGTGAATTTTAACATAGTGATCCTAATTTAATCACATATAGCCAAATTGCTTAGGTGTGTAGATTAGGGTTTTTAAGCTTATTTCTTAGTCATTTCTTTAGTTAATTAGTTCCTACATTTAATCACTCCACTAATCCATGATTTTCTTATTTTTAACACAACTAATCCCTCTTATACTCAAGGGGGTAGATTTGATTAGTAATGTTTATTGGAGTTTTTAGCTATCCTTAATCAAGATTAGTAGGTTTCACTTAGAGATAACCCACTTAGTTAATCTTTCTTAATTCCTCCTAGGATTTTTTCACACTTAACAACCTCTTAACATTTTTTTGAGTCATCAAACCCTAGTCCTCCATGGCAAGGCTGAGTTGTTCATGGGTCCTTTTAGGGTTCATGTTCATCTTTTACATGAAATCCATACAAGGATCCAAAGGTTGCACCTTTACATATCAAATCAATCATTTCTTGGTTCATAACTCACACACCCTCAAGAACAACCATAAAAACCCTTACTTTAAAAAATTTTCAACAATATTCTCCCCACCCACATACAAAACCGAGGCATTAAAATGAGGAGGGAAAGCAAGCTTCACCTTTAGCTCCAAGCTTCACCTTTTACCCACAAGAATGCTCCTTTAAACAAGAACACACCTTCAAAAATATGCTCAAGAGTTAGAGCTCAAGAACACAAGAGAGAAAGATGAGGGTTTTCAAGAAAAGTTTAGAAAACTTACAATAGAACTCAAGAGAATCAAGAACACAAGTGGTGTTCTTCAAGAGAACTCAAGAACACAACTCCATGGCTCTATGAAGCTCAAAAATGTGGCTGTACATGGTGGGAAGGAACGCGAAAATCTTGCTTCACACCATGAAAATGGTTTGGTTGTGAAGAGGAGAGTGAGGGGAGCAAGTTTGGTGAAGGAGGTTTGGTGATTTATAAAGATTTTAGAGGAGAGATTCTAGAAAGAAGTGAGAGCAAAGTTGAATTTTAAATTTTAGAGAGAGGAAGGAGAAGTGGGGCGGCAGATCTGATTGGGGAGGGAAGGGATGGTGCCCTAATTAGGGTTGCCATGTCACTTTAGTGACACTTTGTCCTCTAGTGAAATCCGGTGTAATTTTTATCTGAACCGTCATCAAATTTTTATCCGGAAACACCCAAGAATCTAACTTTAAGTAATTAACATTAATTTTGTCTAATTATCTTGTTTCGTAACTTAAAAATTTGATTAGTAGATCATAGATCCACTAACAATTGTTTAATTGCACTATAGTCTTTACCGGTGTTCTAAACTGTACCCGTATTTTATAATCTTCTTAAGTTTAACATTATTGGTCTAATTATGACTTGTTAGGCATATATTGGTCTTTATTTTCATTTTCTCATCTTTTTTCCGTTCCGAGATTCTACCGGCTGCTTCTACAGCAATATAAAATACCCGGCAGAAGTGACTTTTCCAAAATACCACAATATGGGTATCAAACTTCATCAAATCATATACTAATCTCATTCATGATGTTTGTATCATTATATTAGCTCTCTAACTATAATTTGCTAACTTAGAGCTATTCTACTGATTATTACTGCGTCAGCAGTCACAAATAACAAATGAAATTTACCTGTGTAACATATCCTCAATATGGATATCAAAATTCTTAGAATTTCATCATCATTCCATTTATGACTATAAGGTCCTCATCATAACCCTCTAATTTAAAAGTCATATAATTAGGGTTATTATAAGGGAGCTGAGAACTTTAAACATAAAAAAAACAATGGCAATGTTTTTCGGGCTGCTAGTGGATCCTCTCACCGAATCTTGAGGATTTCAGTGAACTTAGTTGTTGATTTTGGTCTTGGAGCTTCTAGTTTGTTGGGTAATCCTTCTCCTGTTATTGGGTATTTGATGGTTTCTACACTTTATTCTTTTTGTTGGTTTGTTGTGAAGCATAATTCTGTTTTGGAGAGGCCCAGCGTGCTTTATCTTGGTGGTAATGTATTTAAGACTTGCCTTATTGTGCATGTTTGTTGGAGTCCTCATATATTGGAAGAGAGCTTGGTTTTGTTGGAAAGTGATCAGTTGTTCTTGTTTGATTTGGAACCTGATAGTTCAAGTGTGAATTTCAAGGAAATAAATCAAGAGTACCATGGAATGATTGAGGTTTTTCCAAAAACAAGAGATGACTGAGTTGTGATTTAGTTGGCACCTAAGAATTTTGATCGTTGCACATTCTGATGCCATTTTTTTGCCATACTCTCTCTCTTTCTCTTCATTCCATAAAAAAATTATAGATTAGTTCACTCTAGCCTCATTAAAAAAAATAAAAAATGAACAGTAAAACTGCATTTGTTTTGCTTTAGTAGGTTATTTTTTTCTTTTGTCGTATTGGTTATTTAAAGTATGCGGAGAAGGAAAGATGTTAGGCCTTTGTAACTTCAATTCTCACACAAATGTGTTTTTGATATTTCGCCCCCCACATAAAAAAAAAATCCTGGCTCCATTGCTTATATATACAAAGGAACACGAGCAGCTTGCTTTGAATATTCCTGCTTCGTTCTCACATAATATAAGGGTTAATTAAGATAGGGGTATGTTATATTTACAAACTTTTTTGTTTACAAACTACACATGTAGAACCGGTCCTACATTAATCACACAGTGTACGACCAGTCCTACATTAGTGTAATTGCAAAAAAAGTTTGTAAACAGATCCTCTCCCGTTAAGATATATCCAAAAATTTAAGGGGCATCCACTAATAAAAAAATAATTAATTACATTGATAATCAAAGGAATGAAAAGTGAATAGGTCCTAACTCCTAACCCGAAAAATAAAGCTGGACCGGGTTTTTGGGCCGGCCAGCCTGGGCACCCCTAATAAAACATATCTGAATGATTATCACTGGTTTGGTTCATTTCCGTTTTCTTCTTCGCTGCACACTGCACTGCTCCAAAACCCAAAACCCTAGCTCTCTCTCTGTCTCTCTCTCTCTCGCACACCATGAACTGCTCCAGTTATTTCCACTTCTTCTTCTTCTGATTCTACTCTTCATGTTGATTTGCTTTGTTTCTTTCTCATTTTTTCTTGAAATTTTAATTTTAACTTTTTAACTTAATTTTGCTGATCTGGGTTGTTGTTGTTGTTGTTATTCTCTGTGTGAAGTTTCCGGTGAGGTTCCGGAGGAGCCGGTGGTTTCTAAGAGCTCCGGTCTCCTCTTCGAGAAGCGTTTGATTGAGAGACATATATCGGTACTCTTCTCTCTCTCTCTCTCTCTCTATTTTTACCTTTTGCAGTTCAATTTACTGAAAGAATGGATGAAGAGTAGAGGGAGTGTTGTAGTTGAGCAACAGAGGTTAAGATAGAAAGGACCCCAGTTAATTGGGTGAAAAAGTTTGCTCTTTTAACTTCTTTAAGGGTTTTGTTATGGAAATCAGGAGCGTCTTAAGCCAGAACTTGAACTGGTTTCACAAAACTGGAATCTCATATTCTGTGTTATTTGAGTTGAGGCATGTGCTTTACTAATCTGTTAAACTATATTTTTTAAAATTATTATTATTATTATTATTATTTTTTCTCATTTCTGATACCAGTTTTTCATGCCAACAAGAGTCGCTTTTTTGGTGCATGTTGCAAACATATTGGTAGTATTGGTCGTTTGGTTACGAGATGTGAAGGCTTAAAGGATAATAGGATAGGATTGTAAAACAACAGAATATGATTTGAGTTTGTTATAGTTCTATTATATGCCTTCTATCTCGGAAGACTTGGAAGCAAGCCAGCTTTTACTTGATTTTTTTCTATGTCTGTGTTCTATCTATTGTAGAAGAAAAGAAGGTTGGGTGTTTATCTGCTTAGTTACTTTTGTGTAACATGTTTGAAGTGGCTTTTTGTTCTATACATGTTTTTGCTGCGAAATGGGTGTTGCGGCAGCTCTTAATTCAATTATCTTTCGTATTGATGTTTTCTAAGCTTGTAAATACATATAATATTACTAATCTGATTTTGACACTTCATATTCAATTTTGTTAAAAATATTGAGTAGGATTATGGGAAGTGTCCAATTACCGGAGAACCGCTTACTTTGGATGACATTGTACCAATCAAAACAGGCAAGGTATGGTGGTAATAGTATTAGTTGTATGCTTTGCATATTGAGTGTGGTGTTATAAGTAGACTAAACTAACCATGTTTGCTGTGGTTCTTTGCTTTTCAAGAGTTCCTATGCATTATTCTAATTATGTCAGGATCATTTATCATGCAGATAGTGAAGCCCAGACCTGTGCAGGCAGCTAGCATCCCTGGCATGCTTGGATTGTTCCAAAATGTATGGAATTTAGGCTATGAAGTATACCTTACAATTTTTGGTATATTATGGCTTTTTAAAATTTATTTTATATGCTTTACATTATTAAATCAAGAGTTTAATGGTGGTTTATGTTAATAAGTTTTCCAAATAAATAATTAGAAGTACTTAAAAATGTATAATCTTCTTTCTATCAAAGAAAAAATTAATGTAATCTTCCACTTGTGATGATTTGGTCTGCCTAATTTATAGGAATGGGATGGGTTGATGCTATCTAATTTTGCATTGGAGCAACAATTGCACACAGCAAGGCAAGAGCTAAGTCATGCTTTATATCAGGTAAGAGCACTAAAGCTATTGACTAAAAGAATTCTTGTCTTCTACAGTTCTGCTAATTTGGGGAATTGTGGAAGTTTGCGGCCTAAAAGTGATTTTCCATGAATATTTCCTATAATTTATAATGTTGACGTTGTTGTTGGATTCTATTGATTATCTCTTATCTTAACTGATTTATAAGCATAAATGTTCCATACTCATGGATCGATTTCTAATTTGATGTCATGTTTTGGGATTTGGTCTTAAAATCAAAATGATTTGTGCGGAGTTCCTATCACCAAGAAGATAATGATTGGGTTGAAAAGTCAGCCCTTGAGTTTACAATCTCTGAAATCTCCAGGACTATTTTTCTTGGCTTTTTAGGTTCTCATTTATGTGATAAGTTTTCTTCCATTTGAGGTTTTTTATTCTTCCAGATAGAGATAGGGAATTTAACTTTTTGTTTGCCGGAACTTTTGTATATATCAAGGCGAAAACTCTTAGCATCTCAGAACTTCTCGTCAAAAACAATCTTTAACTGTTGTAATTTCTTCTGCTTATGAAAATTTAAATTGTGATTGATACCCTTTTTTTAATGGTCTGTCTGTCTCTCGTCAAGGATAATTAGTTAAAAAATAAGTGTAGTGAGTTGCCAGAGGTAATTGCTGTTCAAATTATTATTTTTTTGTTTGACTTATCTTGCATTAATGTCAGTTCTTTATTCTTCTACTTTTTAATCCATTGTATATTTTTTATTTTGATAAGATCCTATGTGATATTGATTTCAAAATTTTATAATTAGTTTTGCCGCTATATTTTCCACTGCCAGAGTTGCATGCACTAATTTTTTTAGTTTTAATCTGTAGCATGATGCTGCTTGTCGGGTGATTGCTAGACTTAAAAAGGAACGAGATGAAGCTAGGTCTTTTCTTGCACAGGCAGAAAGGCAGTTCCCTCTTTCTGCACCAAATGCCACAACAGCAAATGTCCCTGTCCTGAGCAATGGGAAAAGAGGTTTTTCATGTTATCATTTCATCCATGCTCCTGTTTTCTGTTTATTCAGTTTGCTATCAGTTTTTAAGCTGAGTTTGATTTAACTTTAAAAAATCGCAGCTTACCCCATTATAATATTAGAGATGAAAGTGTTCAAAAGCCATGATTTGGCACTTACTCAAGGATGGTTTTTCCTATTAATTATCCTTTTCTGTTTCAATTTCTCATTTGAGCTATCCTTTTGCATTTTAGCTGCTGAGGATGAGGAGCTGGCACCTGGTGCAAAGAAAATGCATCCTGGAATATCTTCTAGCATAATTTCTGAGCTAACTGACTGTAATGCTGCTCTTTCCCAGCAGAGGAAAAAGCGTCAGGTATTCTTTGTGATAATATATATATGAATTGATATCTGCTATGTCAGTATTTCCTTAGTTGTTACTGTCTCGCTTTTTCGTCCAGTATTGCTTAGAGATTTGGACCAGTTGGAATTTAATGGGATTTGTAGTAGTCTGTTTTACTTGTTTGACTTGCCTTATGAGATTGTAATATTTTTTAACTTTTGTCGCATAATTCAAATATTTATTTGATGCTTGTGATTGTAAATTTGGGTGCTTGCACTTGTTTGTGCATGTTCTTCTCTGGCTTGTTTCAGATTCCTTCAACTTTGGCTACTGTTGAAGCTCTAGAGGCATATACCCAAATATCTAGCCATCCCTTTCACAAAACAAACAAACAAGGCATTATATCTCTTGATATCCTTTATTCTAAGGTATGGATTTTAATCTCGACAAATTGGAAATATGCAAAACGGCTCTTTTGACATTTTTTAACTAGAAAACTAATGTGTGCTGATGAAGGATCATCTCATTCCCTGGTTAACAGGACTTAATTGCAACTGGAGGTATTGATACGAATGCTGTAATTTTTGACCGACCATCAGGACAGATATTATCTACACTTAGTGGTCACTCAAAAAAGGTTTTATTTTAGTTGGAATTACTGCACTTGTCTTTTCTTCAAAATCTTATAGCTGATTATGTATACTTTTGGTAGGTAACCAGCGTAAAGTTTGTAGATCAGGGCAATTCGTTCTTAACTGGTTCAGCAGATAAGGTAAAGAGCGCTATCCCTTTCTAATTCATAGGTAACTAGGTTTCATTGCTTCGAACAATTTTATTGACCATCCTTCTCCACCCAAGAGCAGACATTTTAGACCATGACACAGCCATCCATGCATTGCCACATTCCTTGTTTTCTCTAGACACCTAACCGATTTTTTCTTGCAGAATACAGCAAATCCAAACCGGTAAAGTTGTGTGTGAACTGTGAACCCAGAATTCATTATCCTCATTTTTCAGTCTTGCAATTTATGTTTGTAATTTGTCCCGGTAATGGATATTTCTTTTGACTGTTAGTCTCACTTGGCCAACTGACAATGGTGTATATGACTTATAAATGTGAATTCAAAAGCACTCAGAAAACTGGAAAGGTGTAGTTTGGTGCTGTTAGTGTTAAGTGCTAAGACTGATACTTGTAGTTGTCATTTTATCCAATTTGATTAAAGGTCTTGCACTAGTGTTTCTTTTGGGCATGTCCAAGCCTTTTTGAGAAATATTTTTCTTGTCTGTAGTTATCAGCTGGTAGTCATTAATGTACTCTTTTTCACTTAGTGTGTCAAACAGGCAATTTTTAAAATGATCTGGTTTAGTACAAAATTTTGTGAAGTTTGCAACTTTTTTTTATAACAATTTAGCTATTGCATTTTGCATTTTCCAGTGGTCAATATTTTTACACTCTATGTTGCAGACAGTTCGTTTATGGCAAGGGTCAGATGATGGTAACTATAACTGCAGGCACATCTTAAAGGATCATACAGCTGAGGTAACTGAATCTAATCTTCTTACCATATCGTTGTCCATACTTAGTTACTATTTTATGTATTACCATCCTTAGTTTTGCTCTCTTATGTTATCAAATTTTTCTGTAAAAATGAGCTGGTAAATTTTTTCTCTCTTCCAGTTTTTGAGGATCTAAATTTCAATATTTTTCATTAGTGAAATTGCGGCATGCCTATATTGTGCTTATTAATGAGTTTTAGGTTAACTTTTGGTCAAGTGATGAGGGCATAGTGTATTACTTGTACATTCTTCCAGTGGATTGACACTCATTATAAAAGCTTCTTGATTGGCATTATTTGATGTTTGTCAATAATTTAATATCTGTTCATCTTCAAATTTATACTTCCCCATATAATATGCTGGCCCAGTAATTAATTTTACCTGTGGGCTGATATCATGCTCTTTGCTTTGTGATAGTGGTTTTAATGTACTTGGTGGCATGAGGAATTTCTTTGACAGGATTGGAAAGAAAATTTTTCACATGAAACTATTTTTTCTTGTTTGATGGTATGGCTTGATATGAATTATTATGTAGAATAAGAAATGTTTTGAAGGTAAAATTTTAAAATTGTAAGGAGAATGAAAAATAATGGAGATTCTTCAAACCACAACTCCATTTCAAAAAGCCAAGTGGACAAGTCCTTAAATAATGACTTTCCCCAAAATTAATTGCAAAAGTGTCCTTAACTTTCCGCTTCACCAAGTTTCTGAAACCTCAACCTTCCATGTCCTGCTCTTAAAAACATGATTATGATAACAGCTTATTCAGTTTCCTACCATCTGATGCTCTATAATTCACCATTGTTGCAAGTCTCTACAAATCTTTCTTCAAATGTTTTCAATTTTGTTAGTGTTGAATAATATGGAAAAGAGATGCAATGTCTAAAAATCTGTGTAGGTCAATAGCACCGTGGAGGCTTTATTATGTAGTGTGTCTATAACAATTACATAAGAATAATATATGTGGGTTTTAATAACCTATTTTCAATCTTCTAACAGTTAGGTTTGGAGATTCCACCTTAGACATCTTCCCACATCAAATTGGACCAAATTAACAATCATATATTGAGTCATAGGATGTGAGTCATGAGTATCCCTTAAATTGCGGTGGATGCTAGTTTCCATAACCTGTGACCATCTAAATAACTAACCAACTCTGCATAATATTCATTTTCAGCTTGAATTGGCTTCATTATCAATATCTTTGTTCTGATATTGGCCATGATTAAAAAGAAAAGGAAAGCAACCATAATATCTGCGCCTGGAGAATCCCTTTCGTAAAGCCAGCATTTTCTTGATAGATTAATGATGTCTGTCCAGTCTCCTGCAGATGTAATATAAAATCACTCCATATTGCCTTGGTGTGCTAGAATCTCACTTATGCCCTTTAAAGTAGCAACAACCTGGCTTCCAAAAATTCTGTGTACATAGTCTACAGTCCACTCACGAATGGAGTAGGAATCTGAATTTTCTTCGTATACTTCTCAGCCAAATCCATCCAATTCAGTACAAGTAAAAGAAAATTCTTCCTGAGTCCTAAAATCATAATTTGAATCATTCATGCGAACAGAAGATATATCATTGTCTGCATGCCCTTTATCCCAACTTTTTTTGATTGTAGAGAAGATCCTTGCAACCGTTCAATCTCTGGAAGCTCTTGATTGCTAGGTTTTGATATGCTCCTTTTGCTTTCCAACATCATCAGATCATAGCGCACCTACTGCTTTTTATTATAAATGAAATACTCTTAACTGCTGGTCAATTATTTTTGTCTGCATAACTGATGCGTGTCTTCTACAGTAAGTCTTACATTCAGTTACTTCTTTTCAGCAGAGTGCCTTATAATCTGATGTTCTTTTGTTTGATTTGTATTATCCATACTAAATCATAAATTTTTGATGTGGATAAATCCATATATCTTCAACCCATGAAATGTCTATTATGAATGCCTTTTTACAATTTACTTTAATTCTCTCTGAATCAGTCAGTTATACTTGTCTCATTTATGCACTTCATGTGATACAAGAATGATTTACCTTTCCAATTTTCAGGTGCAAGCTGTCACTGTCCACGCCACCAATAATTACTTTGTGACTGCTTCACTTGATGGCACTTGGTGCTTTTATGAACTGTCTTCGGGGACATGTCTGACTCAGGTCTGATCTCTTGTTTTCTCTGTATGGTTACAGGCTTAATAGGGAAGAACTATACATGCCTATTAATTTATTTTTGGTTAATGTGTTAGGTAAGTTGGTGTTTACAGCACAGATAAAGTTCTCTATGGAATAGTTTTGTTGTGGTGTCTGAAGAATTTGGAGAATTTTTTAATTTTCTTAGAAATTATCTTCTGAAAATAATCTATTTTAACCTAGACTACAGTCTTTCCTACTTAAGTTCTAAATCAGACAATTAATGATTTGAGTTTTGTAGGTTTTGGACTCTTCAGGTTCTTCTGAAGGCTATACGTCTGCAGCCTTTCATCCAGATGGTCTCATTCTTGGAACGGGCACAACTGATGCTCTTGTCAAAATCTGGGATGTAAAAAGTCAGGTATAATTTTTTATTTGAATTTTAATATTCAATTTTATTTCCAGAGTGTGTGTTTTTACCTCCTATTCGTTGCAGGCAAATGTTGCCAAGTTTGATGGACATGTAGGGCCAGTGACCGCCATATCCTTTTCTGAGAATGGATACTTCCTTGCGGTATGAGAGAAAATGTAACCAGTAAAAGTAGGATGGTTATTTAAATAGTATTCTTATTGTACTCTTAAATTTGACAGACTGCAGCTAATGATGGTGTAAAGCTTTGGGATTTACGTAAATTGAAAAACTTCCGGAACTTTGCTCCATATGACTCAGAAACTCCAACAAACTGCGGTATTCAGTTTCACTTTTTGTTTATGGTCATATTATATACAGGGTAAGAAGTTATAGCTATTTCAAAAGTTCTTCATCCAATTCTCTGTATCTTACAGTGGAGTTCGACCATAGTGGATCCTACCTTGCAGTTGCTGGCTCTGATATTAGGTGAGGAATGCTGTCTAGTACTGGATTTGGTGATGGTTACGAAATGTTCCAGCAAAATTCTTGTCACGCTTGTCATTTGTCAACCCCTTCTATTAGTATTTTCTGAAGCTGATTTCCAGTGCCTGTTAATTTATGCAGGATTTACCAAGTTGCAAATGTGAAATCTGAATGGAACTGTATCAAAACTTTTCCTGATTTATCTGGAACAGGTTCCGTCTTTTTTTTTTTTTTTTTACTAGTCTATTATTCCTTCAGGCATATGAGGGTTTCATGTTTATCTAGTTACTAAGACGCTACTTGAAATTTTCTTCCCAGGGAAGGCCACTTGTGTAAAATTTGGTCCAGATTCAAAATACATGGCGGTGGGGTCAATGGACAGGAATCTTCGAATATTTGGTATGCCTGGCGAAGAAATTCCCACCGAGTCATAAAGTGCCTGAGTTGCATATGCCCAAAGTCTTGGCTCTGGAGTGACAGTTGCTGCCTGTTATTGATGCTTGGTCTAATTTCTTGGATTGGAAAAGTTAATGAAAGTTGTGGTTTCCTTGATTGTTCCGTCTTGGTCCTTAACATATCATGGTGTATGTGGGATGGAGCAAATACACTTTCAGGCTTTCTGCAGCAACATTGCTGTGCATTCCCCTTGTCTGCTAACCTAAATGACACAAAGCTGCAATATTTGCCTTGTCATTAAAACCTGAAGCTTGTATTGTCAGTAGATAATTTTGTAACTTTTTTACTTACTAGTGAGATAATTGAATTTGTCGGCCATTACTACAAGAAATTTTTATTCATAACTCTGTTTATTACATCTTTTGTTTTGGGGATTTGGTTGAGTTATTATATATTAACTTTTTAGTAAACAGGTTATAATTAAAAATGTTATGAAGCATTCCTTCTCCCGGCGAAGATCATAAGTTTTGAAGACAAAAACGAAGAAGATAATAGGTTTTGAAGATATAAAAACGAAGGACCCAACGAATAAGATGGGGATGACTTGTGTAGCAGAGGGATATCTAGAATTGTTACAAAGTTATGGTAGGGATATCAAGTGTCGTTTGATAATTGAGACGGGTCTTTGAAAATTGGTTTGGGTTTATGTATGGTGAAGATTTATCTAGAGGCTATCTTGATATAAAAGCTGATGAAGAGAGATCGAGAATAGAAGGATTTACACATAAACCATTTGATATTTACCGATATTGAGAAGTTGTATATGACTTTTTGAGGTGAGTACTTCAGAGTGTGTGGAGACAAGCGGGCATATATACGGTGCTATTACATTTGTCAAGGTTTCTAATAACAGTGTTATTTTTGAATTACATCAAATTTACTTAGTTAGCGGTTTGAGTCTATTTTTTTGTGAGGAGACGAAGGTTAGTTGGTAACAGTAAAAACAACGTTGTTAAACCTGATCCGGGCATCAATTCAGTCGGGATACTGAGTTATTGGATCACTGATCGGACCGGTGGGTCACTGATCGGACTAGTTGATCCAGATATATATATATAGATATATAAAAATATATATAAATATGAACATATAATTCAATTATATTTTCTATATCTAAAATGAATTAAACAAGGTTCACTAAATAAGCTCAAAAATATGAAGCATAAATAAATAAAAATGCATGCTATTACTATGTCAATTTAAATTGCAACTTAGAATTTCCCTAAACATACCTCTCAATGACATTGAACTTATATTTTTCAAATTCAACTACATTAAAATGACACATGTCACATTCTTTAGTTTATTATTCCACAAATTGCTTCAACATTGGAAACTAAGAGGTCATTGTAGAAGAATACTAGCAAATAAAATTACAAAAAGTTTTTAAAATGAGTTTTACATTTTTTTTATAAGATGAAATAGTTTTGGTTTTTTTTTTTAAATGCATAACCCAACCGGGTCATCGAGTTTGGCTGGGTTCTGACCGGGTCAATGCATGATTGGTCCAATGCTTGACTCGAATTAGTCTGATGATCAGTTCACCGGATTCCGGGTCGACCCGGCCAAGTCGGGCAGCGTTTTACCACAGTAAATAAAAATATATCGAGCATTCACTGCATCTTTTATCAAACATGGAAAAAGTAATATAATTATATTACTTCTGTCTTTATGATTATTTCCTCCTATATCCCCTTTTTGGTAAAAGTGTAAGTACTCTTGTAGCACGGAAAATGTGCTGCGTAACATTAAACTAAAATTTTGGAGAACCAAGTTAGAACTTTTTAATTGATCTTAGTTTCAATAAATGAGTGAGTTTGTAATGATAGGGATCAAGTATCTACGAATATGCATGATATTAGGCTATGTTGCACCAATACAGAATACGGCACGTCGACATGTTAATTTTAAAATTTTGACATGTTAGGACATATTGATATTAAATTAAATTTTTAATATATATGTATATATATATAATATAATTTATATTTAATACATATAGCAGCTCATAATAAATGATATAACTAATCAAATATTAAAATTTCATAAAATAAATATAAAGCAAAAGTAATTTTTCATGCATTATTAATTTTTCATGTCAAATTTCATAACAGAAAATATTTAATTTATAAATTAACTTTTTATATTTAGTTGAAAAGATAAAATAAAATAAAAATTGGATCTTAAAAAAAAAAAATGTCGAAGCGTGTCAGAAAATATTGACTGTGTGTCAGAACGTATTGAAGTGTTGATCGCGTGTCAGAAAATATTGACCGCGTATTGTAACGTGTCAGTGTCCGACACTTATTTTTCACCTAAATAAATGTGTCGTGCTTCCTTGAATTAGGCACTCAAGACATATGAATTTAAATATTTATGATCAATTTGGAAAAAAGGGAGCGATTTAGATAAAGTGATAATATATGGGAGTTGTCTACAATGTTATACGTAGGTTAATGTTGGCTAAGACAAAAGCAACATTTTTAAAGGCATTAATTTTTCTTCTGTGTCATGATATAAAGTTTGTTATCCCAAAATAATATTATTTTAGATTTTAGAATAAAAAATAAAAGGCAATTTAATAAAATGCATGTTACAATGCAATGAGTGCTTAAGGGTTTGCTTTGGTAAGAGGTTCAAACTCCTGCCAAAGCAAATTCTTAGAACTCTTTAAGGGTCAGAGGAAAACTGTCTCCCCCTCGAAGGAGAATTAGTCTCATCCTTCCTCGGATGATAATGGTCCAATACACTTTCTGTTTCAATGAAGAATTAGCCTTAGGGGTCATACTCCGAGAACAAGGTGGCTTGGGGAGGTTGTGTGGGGATACCTCCACGTTATCTACAATAATAATAATAATATATGTTACGATAGAAAAGTAAAATTTTTAAAATACCTTTATTTTTTATTCTAAAATCCAAAACAATGTTGTTTTGAGGTAATAGGAGATATTTTTATCTCTTGTAACAGGAGAAACGTTTTTTCCCTGCATAAAATGAGAATAACATAAATGAGAATATTAATGTGAATAAGGTATAAATAGAGTAGTATTTGTAGATAAAGGTATAAATAGGCCAGACAATTAATCAGGGGTTAATAGGCTTAAGTCTTAAAAAAGGTTATTTAGAAAATAATCCATAGACCTACTTTTACTAGGCCTATGAGCTAAATAAAAATATTTATTATTTATTTTAATTAAAATAAAATGATTATTTAAATAATGAAATAATATTATTTTAATTCTTTTTTAATTTTTTTTTTTTTTTTTGATAACATATTTTTTAATTCTTAATGAGTCGTGAAGACTCACTTGATAGGTTTAAGTAAACTAACAAGTCTAGGCTAGACCTTTTGATTTTTAAATATAGACAAGACTAGATTTGTAATTTAACGTAGCACGTTTACACCTCTACTAATGAAAAAAAAAATACTTAGCTAAAGCCAACTAGAGATGAAAAAATGGAACTCCAACCTGTCGGGTTGACTCGTCTAACCCGCAATAAATGACAGGTTGGATTGGAATTCTCAACCTGTCAATTTACACACCCCACATAAAAGTGGATCAAAACGAGTTCAACTTGCAACAAAGGCGGGTTGACTCATCAGGTCAATTTTATTTTTTTTTATATTTAGTATCAAGTAATATTTTATTTGTCATGCTAAGCTTTTGTGATATCTAACTTTTTTTATCTTAGTACTCATCTACAAAAGATAAAGAAGAAAATATTTTATTTATGACAAAAATTATTTATATATAGAGACAAAATTAAATTCTTTGAGACTGTCAAACTGAATATTACATACATTTAGATTTGGAATTGAAAAAAAAATAGCAAGAGTGTAAAATAAAATTAAATAACACTAAATCTCATAAAATAAGATTTAATTTGAAGTTTTGAATTTAAACTTTTTTAAACGAATTAATCCGTCAATCGCCATAAAATGAAAAAGATTGATATTTTTAACTCACTTTTAAAGAGTAGACCAACCCATTTTATTAAGTTGACAGTGCATCAAAGCGGGTCAACCCGATTTGACACCTCGAAGCACACAATTGATTCGTCCCAGCTACAAGCTACTGCCGCAACGTCACACCCACAAAATGAACTGTATTGTGTAAAGTCAAATTACACAGCAAAATTTGTGGCTACAAGCTTGTTATTTTTTACACTCGAGTTAATGCCTATAGGAGTTTAATATCGCACCTGTGAACCTGTAGATATATGGTTTTTATGAATTTGATGTTGTAACAAAATTATTAAGTTATGTTACAGAGGCAATGACAGTGGATCCCAGGTTTCTTTTTTCTTTTTCTTTTTTTTTTTAAATAGCAATAAGTCTTATTATCATTGTCTCTATAACGTAACTTAACAACTTTCCTAAAATATAATATTCATAAAACCCGTGAATATATATATATATATATATAGGATTCGGATCATATTAAATCAGTGTAAGTTACATTCTTAATCTTGACCATTGATCCTATTTATATCTAAGGGCTCTAATTTTTTTAGTAATATGAGCCATTAGATACAAGTGGATCAATGATCAAGATTGAGTGTAAGAATATCATGCCCCATATATATATATATAGGGGCAGGATCATCTTACACCGATATAAGAATAATAAATCTTACACTCAATCCTAACCATTGATTTTCTGCATCTAACGGTTAAGATTTATTAGGTGTCACTCATTAATTAATTTTTAATTCCCAATAAATCTCAACTGTTAGATGCACGAAAATTAACAGTTAAGATTTGGTGTAGGATTTTTTATTCTTACACTGATGTAAGTTGATCTTATCCCATATATATAGGGGAAAAATATACTTATCATCAAAAAAGTTTACCACATTTACAACCAACCTAATCACCGTTGATTTCCATCAATATAACGATTATAATTTATTGAAAATTATTGAATCACATTTATTAATTAATTATTATTCCCAACAAAAATCTAACCGTTAGATTGACGAAAATCAACGGTGATTAGATTGATTGTAAATGTGGTAAATTTTTTTGGTTGTAAGTATATCCTGCTCCATATATATATATAAAGGGTTTTACTTCTCTCATGTTGTATGAGAGAAGTTATCTTATGTTGTGAGATAAATTAAGTAGAGTCCACCAATTTTTAAAAAAAGAAAAAAAAAAAATAGGCACATCTTTTTATCTGAGTGTAAAATGAGAGAAGAGTCTTATGTGACATAAGAGTATAATTTCCCATATATAAACTGCTGGTTGTTTTATCTTTTACTAAATTTAGTTATTTACCAATTCCTTCACTAAGATTCCAATTTAGAATCTTCCTGTGTTCTGATGGCTTACACAAAAATCAGAATTGCAAAAATTGTGCAAAATGGAACTTCAAGAATATAATGTAATGATATAAACTTGGGACATAATGTCTAATACATCTCTGATTTGATTAATCATCCAAGGGTAAAAATCACCCTAAAAAAAGTTGGTAATCTACATCAATATATAAATTGCTAGGTAGGTGCAGAGAGAGAGAGAGAAATGGATTTGCTAGTTTAGGACACCCCAACAAAAGCATCTCAGCCTTGCGTCAGGTAAGAGAAGCATGCGTAAAACCCCACAACTGCACATATTAGAAATATAAGTATAAATAGTAAATCATAATCTTGTATGGCAGTAGAAATAAGTTGATAAAATCAATGCATGGATGGCATGTAGTGAACTATAGCTGTAAATATGGATTTTCAATTATAACAAAATTTCTGAGTTTAGATATCTAACGAGGGCGAGCCTAAATCAGTAATAAAGTTGTCTTTTTGTGACTGAAAAGTCATGTGTTTGAATCTGAGAAATAACCTCTTTGCAAATATATACAAGGATAAAACTGCGTACAAGAATTACCCTCACAAGTCGGATTTAATGGGGAGTGGCAATTTTATCTGACATATTTTTTTTTGGTAATGTTTTATGTGACTTTAGATATCTCATGGCCATGAGTATCTAAAACAAAAATGACAACTACTACGCCTTATTCCAATAAGTGGGGTTGGCTACATGGAACAATTGACATCATTAGACTAATAAAAAACAAGAATTTCAAAGAAACCATTCAGGGTAAGGTTTTGTATAATGGTTCCTCCTAGAGTTTTCTTTAGATTTACTTTATCTTGTTTAATCAGACTATATTCCAATTTAAACATTTTTCACTGGAGCCTCTATTGGTCGTCTTCTCTTATGACCAAACCACCGTAAGCAAGTTTGTCATTTCACCCTCAAAATAGGTGCTATTCCAACTTCTTCCTGAATACATTCATTCATAATATTATATTTTATTTGAGAACGAGCCTTGGAGCATCCGTAAGATTATTCTTTATAACTGGAAGGTCTCGGGTTTGAGTATAAGAAATAGCCTCTTTGTAAAAACGCAAGAGTTAGGCTGCGTATAATCAACTCCCACCCTTACCTTCGCAAGTTGAGGAGCCTTGTGCACCGAGGTTTGCCATTTTTCTTGTATATCCACCCGTTCTTAGACATCTAAGTAGGGAAATATAAAAAAATTAAAATCCACTTCTGCTTCGAAACTCGGAATTTATGAATAGTACATTAGTATCTACTTCTGTATCTCTGCTTGGAAATACGCTAGTTATCAGAAACATTATATTTATAAATGCTGAGTATTAAGACCCTTGAGTATTAAAATCCATTTCAATATGCCCTCTACGGTCTTCAAACAAAGATGACATATACATCAACAATTTTATGCTCATAATATTTTCATGAAGCAGAAAAAAGAAAAGATAACAACTAAAAGCAAGGCAAACCAGTAGATAGAACAAACTATAGTAAGAACATTACCTCAACATTCTTCAATTCAAACTCAGGACTATGAGCCAGACATAAACTTCCAAATGTATCGCAAGGTCCACTAGTTCCAGTTAACCTTTCCAACCAGAAAAATACATTCAAAGGAAGAGATTCCATAAGTGGAACTTCTACAATAATAAAGAAGACTGACAAAAACCATGCCGCACTATTGAAATACTTACATATCTCCATCTACGCATAAAGCAAAACTACCACCACCACCAAGTGCAAGTAAGTCACTCAAACATAAGTAATAGTACCGGTTGACACCTACAAACAAACATATGATAAAATCTCTTTATAATTGATTGACATGCTCATAGCCTCATACAAAAATTTCCTTTTAGAAAAAACACGCAATTTGAAAGAATGATCAAAGTATATCCTAAAATCCTTCTATTCGATTATAAATCAGTAATATCAAAATACGAAGTACAGTGAACCGCGCAAATTTCTAAAATGCGTAAGAGATTGAGACTGAATCATTACCATACATTACATTAATCCTGGACCTATTGTGTCAATTCATACTGAAACTAGAAGAGTACATGCAAGAGGTGATAAAAAACGAGTCAGTCATTAGCCAAATTTAGAGGCTTATTAGCTCATTAGCTTTCTTCTATATTAGGCTTTAAAAAGAATTTTATTTGAGGAATTTACATACTTCCATGTCATATAGATCCAAATTCATTGTAGCTAATTACTATTGAAAACTGATATATCTAAATCATTAAAAGATATTTGACCCCAAAACACTTCTTATCGCTCGTCCACTTACAAATACAGACAATGAATTGATTTCTGACATTTGGCTTAGTTCCAACATCTTCCTATAAATAAAATGCATTTTCACATCAACCAATGAGAACCCTTACCAGTAGGTCGAAACAGCCTTGGCTGCCCATATATGGTTGTAAAGACAAAAGTTTGGTTTGTCCCCTATCACCACAGCAAACAGAACAAAACCGTAGTTCAAGATGTAGAAGTGTGTTAATGAAGAAGCATTATCCAAAAAAGACAAAAGAGTTAACATACTTGATATTTTCGCTTTGCTGCAGGTTTCAAGGGGCAATCTAGCAGCCCACCGAACACAGCCCCTTGCATATCTCCAACAATCTAAACATTTTGCGAAATGGATAATAAATACAAATTGTCAACCAAAAAAAATATGTATTAATTTGCAACTAGTAAATTTTCCAATGTACACCATAACAGGAGACATGTATTCAGTTCATAAAGTTACCAGCAAACCAGGACCAGCAAGTTCAGCACTCTTGCGAAAAAGTGTATGAAGTGATATTCCATGTTTCAAAGTACTGCCCTTCATTCAAAGAAGGAATGTTGAATCAATATTTCAATGCAATGACACAATACTTTTCAATGCAAAAACTAAAAAGTAGAGCGAAAAATTACCTGTAAAGTAAGACCCGCTTACACCCTTTTACTATATTAGGGAGGCATGATTCAAAAAATTCATTCAACTCAGGAGAAATAAAAGTAGAGTCATCAAAAAGATTGAGTGGAGGCTTCTTTGGAGTATTTTTAGAATGCTGCCCATTTACTTCTTCAAAAACTTCAGAACTGCTAGTACTCCTTCTAGAGGCTTGATCTTCATCATTAATTTTATCTTTCAAAAAATCCTTGCTATTACACATGGGACTAAAATCAACATATTTATCCAAGGGATCATCATCCCGGCACTCAAATTTTTCATAGTTACATCTAACAGAAACTGATTGATGGTTACTTGTCTTGGATCCACCAAAGCTAACTGAAGGAATAATATAAGACAAATATGAAGACAAAGATTCACCCTCTTTAGAATAAGGGCTGGCCTACACATATAAAAAAAACCACATGTCAAAGATTAAACAAAGAAAAAAAAAAAAAAGAGGAAAATTAAGCACTCGATAATGCACTCTTAGAACATTGCTTTTATTCGGTTAAATATCAAATGAGATGAAATCAAATATATATTTTACTTTTTCTCAACATGAGACTGATATGTGATGGCTGCAGAATGTTACAAGAAAGATAAAAAGGTTGGTGATGGACCTAACTAAAATTTCCAAATGAATCAAACCAATAAAGAATGCAACCACACTCCAACTCCAAATGAAGCTTATTGATCAATCAAAATTCCATATTTCTCTGCTGGTAACACTGAAGGGTTACAGCTTATAGTAGAGGCCATATACATAACCCCACTTCGAAAAATTCCAAACAACATTAATATTTACCTCCCAAAAATAAATTGCAGAAATCAAACCACACAATTTTTTATTTTTTATTTTTTTTTGGGTGCATTTTTGTAGATAATTCAAAACGATAAAAATTAATATAACCATTCAACCAAAGACTCAAATTTTGTAGAGACTAGATCTAAATTACCATGAGAAGCTGATCTAAACTTAAGAAACCCATAAAGCTGAGATTTTTATTATTATTTTTATATTGGGTATAACAAACACAACCAAAATAACCAAATGCAGATCAGTGAAACTAAGAGAGACCCATTTCACCCATTTTTGTTTCTATTAAAATTTAAAAAGAAGAAGAAGAAGAACAGAAAAGAAACAGAACCTGGGAAGAGGAGGAGGAAGAGTTAGGAGAATCAGCGAAGAGACGAGAAAGCTTGTCTGTGAGTTTCTCTTTCAAAGTATACATTTTTTAACCAAATTGAAAGGTTTAGTTATGGCTATGAGCTATGGTAAGAGTCTTGAGTTATCCCACCAATGCTTTGAATGTGAAGAACGCAATAAAAAGGAGGCAAATAAAGGGACAAAGGAAAGTGGGAAAAGAAAAAAAATCAATTGCGTTGACCATTACATCATGGTAAAAACAGAAATAGCATACGTGACACGACATTTCGACACGTTAATTCTAAAAAATATTAGATTTTGACACGTTATGATATTAAATAATATTTTTGATTTATGTAGTGTATATTATATTTAATATTTAATAATTTAACAAAAAAATGAAACTAAACTTATAATACTAATCAATTTTGCAAAGAAACATAAGATATCTCAAATATTTATATTAAACTCAATAAAATAGTAATAGTAATCCAACGAATCTAATAGTTGGAACTAAAAAATCACGCAGTGCAACTTTTGAATCTTTTTTTTGAATTTTTATAACGCGTGTTGGAGTGTCGGAGTGTCGAGAAGTGTCAGACACGACACGTCAGGATTTTTGAAGTGTCGGTGCTTTATAGCTAATCATTAATATTAAATTAGAATTTTAAAAGATTGAAAAAAAATAATGTCATATTCGATTAGAATTTTAATAGATTATTTTAGAGTCTATCTAAATTAAATCTGGTGGTATTTATTCAGTATTTTAAATAAAGTAAAAATAATCTTGTGATATCAAAAAATTTGACAGTTTTTACTGAATTTTCTATTGGTATGAATTTTATGAGATTTTTTAATGAAAAATATAATTATGATGTCTCTCTCACAATCTCACAATAATTTTAAGGATTTCTTGATATTTCTCTTCTTCCTTTAGCGGGTTGTCTCGTTCGAAATCGAGTTTCGCCATAGGAGCTTCGTCAAAGCTCAAAAACAGCAAATTTTTTAGCGATTTTCATCGCAAAACAATCCAGAAACAACAACCCAACAAGATTATAATATAATCCATATCAAAAACAGTAGATTTTAAGCGATTTTTTTAGAACTTTTAGAAGTTTAAAAAATGATTTCTTAAGCTATGTGTCGCGATTTTTTTTGGCACAAAAATGTGTGATTTTTGAATTAAAAACAACATAAAACAGTGGAAAAATAACAGGGGAACAAAACCCTCAAACCAATTTTTATTTTACATCAATGAAACAAGATCGATGTAAAGAAATATTGAAACTTTCATAATATGAACAATATGTTTCGTAACAATAAATTCATGAACGAAATTTCTTCGTTATAGGAAACGATTTCAAACAATTTTTGTGTCAATAGATCACTAAAAACTTATTTTTCAAAAGACCCAAACCAATTTAATGTTTCAATGTAACGATTGAAAATAATTTGAGAATTTTTCTAAACTTTCATATAATAAAACTCATACATTCAGATTCAAAATTTTCTTAGAATACTCAATGAAAACACACATATAATATATGGTTAGAAAACTCCATCGAAGTACAAAAATCCCACGGTTTCCAAGATCAATTGCAAAATATTTCAAACGAAATTTTATCATGAACTTTAGGTTCTATATGCAAATTTCAAATTATTATAATAAATAGAAAAAAAAAGTGGGTCTTATAATCATGCATAGCTCTGATACCAAATGAAGAAGATAATTTTCATTCCATTGGTCAAACTCATGAGCAGGAACGAGATGATGCTAATGCGTGGAGGCTAATATAAATATGTGGAGAGCTGCTACTTAGTAAGACATCAATTTACATCAAATTACTGATTGGACAAATTATAATAGGTTTTACTTTTCTTATTAATATCATTCATTTCTTTGTTTTTTTTTTTTGAATGTTTGTTAAAAATTTATATGATTTCTTAAAATCTTATAAATCCATATTGTCATTTCAAATCTTATAAATTCTATTAAAATCCTTTAAAATCCAATCTTATAAAATCTTGATTGCAAAAAAAGTCTTTTAAAAAAATCTTTAAAGTCACTACAATTCTAGATAGTCTTTTAAAATCTATAACATTTTTTTATCTCAAAATAGTCTTTTAAAATCTCAATCCAATACATCTCCCTAAGGGTTTATTGTTTGATATGTTGTATAAGATAAAATTTATCTCTTATATACATATTAAAATGTGTGGGATTCATTTTTTTATTTCTCTCTTTTTTCCTTACTTGGGCCCACATAAGTCACATATATCTTTATGTATGTGTAGGAGATAAATTTATCTCCTATAACATGAGAAACATTAAACCCAAAATTAATAGCGTTAAGATTATGCAAAATTCCAATATGAGAGGATGTTTCCTAAGAAAGTAAAAATTATTGAATTATTTTAGTAAATGTTTGAAGCATTATTATTCTTTTATTAATTTCATTCCTTTATTAATTTATCATTAATATTTAATTGATTTCAATAAACAATAAACGAAAAATTCATGAATTTGGTCACACATATTTTCGTTGCTAACTTGAAATGGGAGGTGACTATTAACCAAAAAAAAAAAAACCTTGTCATTTCTTGTTATGGCCCACATGAGCCACACATATTTTTATGTATGTGTAGAGATAAATTTATCTCTTATAACATGAGAAATATTAAACCAAAAATTAATAGTGTTAAAATTATGCAAAATTCCAATATGAGAGGATGTTTCCTAAGAAAGTCAAAACTATTGAATTATTTTAGTAAATCTTTGAAGCATTATTATTCTTTTATTTATTTCATTCCTTCATTAATTTATCATTAATATTTAACTGATTTCAATAAATGAAAAATTAATGAATTTGGTCACACATATTTTCATTGCTAACTTGAAATAGAAGGTGATTATTAACCAAAAACAATTCCTGCTTATTCCAACATTTAGGTCATGAGCTATCACGTTTGCATTGTGATCATCGTTGTCCAAGTCGTGACCTTCATTATTTCCAATATGGATCTTATTATCAGCATTTGAATTTCGGCCAGTATTGACTGCTCCACTTCCCTCAGTTATTCCACCCCGGATTTGATTATCCAGGTTGTGATTCGCATTAACTCAGATTTGATTGTTCTGATTTTGGTCTGTATGAACTCGGACGTGATTATTTGTATCATTAGCATTTCCGGGCTCATGAACCTCTATATGCCTTTCCCTTCTTCTATTTTCTTCATCTCAGATCTGGCTTCCAGCATGTTCTCGATTTATAATTTGCATTAGACGCTCTTCTAGTTCCTGCATTCTTCGAATATCCTCTTGCCTTTGGATATTACTACGATGCTCCATCTCTTCCTGTATCCTTCGAACATCTTCCTGCCTTTGAAGATTGCCGCGATGTTACATCTTATCCATCCGCCTTAAGATTGCATTTAAAGCATTTTGTGTAAGACGAGCTTCTGGATCAGCTAGTTGATGTTGGAGTGGCACTGTTTGATTCTGTAGATTATCCACCGGAGTCGGTGTGGAGGCTGTATCTGAGACATCTTCACTTACATGAACAACATCATAATCTGGCGTCGCCTCATGGTCAGGCTGTAACACCCCAAATTTCTAACAATTTATAATAGCATAAATAAATTCAATAATTTTATAAATAACAGCGGAAGTTCAAAATAATCAAATTTGGGAAGTGTTACCGCCGCACTTGTACAGGGACAAGTGCAAGGCTAACTCTATTACATTCAAATAAAAATCTAAGACTACAGTTTTTTTTTTATACATAATATTTATGACAGCTAGAAATATCTGAGTCGTGATCCTCACTGCCCACAGCTAGCCTCATCCTTTGCAACATGCTTCACTGAAAATCTGCTCCCCCGCAGCCGCAGGATCATTGCAGTCAAACAAACACAAAAGTCAGCAAAGCTGGTAATCCCAATCAAAATACGATTAATGTAATTAATAACAAATTAAATCAAATATCAAATAGTGTTCAAATCGATTTCCACATTAATCAAATCAAATATGAATATAATAATCAAAATTCCATTATATAATATTTATCTTTATTAAGTTCATTTGATGTATTTGGTAATTATCAACTAACATATTTAGCACAACATTAGTCATAATATGATAATATTCACAACTCAATGACATTCTTCATAATCAAATCAAATAACAAATTTCATTATTAAT